GTCCCCACACTGTGTATAGGCAGTTGCCTGTGATGCCCCACTGTTTAAAGCATTAGCCTGTGATGCCCACTGCTTAAAGGCAGTAGCCTGTGACACCACACTGTTTATAGGCAGTTTCCTTTGTCCCAACACTGTTTAAGGGCAGTTGCCCTTGATGTCACATTGTTTAAAGGCAGTTGCCTGTGATGCCACACTGTTTGAAGGCATGTGCCTGTGTTGCCACACTGTTTAAAGGCAGTTGCCTTTGATGACACACTGTTAAAAGGCAGTTTCCTTTGTCCCAACACTGTTTGAAGGCAGTTGCCATTGATGTCACACTGTTTAAAGGCAGTCGCCTTTGATGCCACACTGTTTGAAGGCAGTTGCCTGTGTTGCCACACTGTTTAAAGGCAGTTGCCCTTGATGTCACACTGTTTAACGGAAGTTGCCTTTGTTGCCACACTGTTTAATGGAAGTTGCCTTTGATGCCACACTGTTTAAAGGCAGTTGCCCTTGATGNAACGGAAGTTGCCTTTGTTGCCACACTGTTTAATGGAAGTTGCCTTTGATGCCACACTGTTTAAAGGCAGTTGCCCTTGATGCCACACTGTTTAACGGAAGTTGCCTTTGTTGCCACACTGTTTAAAGGCAGTAGCCTGTGATGTCACACTGTTTAAAAGCAGTTGCCTGTAATGCCACACTGTTTAACGGAGGTTGCCTTTGTTGCCACACTGTTTAATGGAAGTTGCCTTTGTTGCCACACTGTTTAAAGGCAGTTGCCCTTGATGCCACACTGTTTAAAGGCAGTTGCCTGTGATGCCACACTGTTTAAAGGCAGTTGCCCCTGTGCCACACTGTTTAAAGGCAGTTGCCATTGATGTCACACTGTTTAAAGGCAGTTGCCTGTGATGCCCAATGTTTAAAGGCAGTTTCTTTTGTTCCCACACTGTTTGAAGGCAGTTACCTTTGATGCCACACTGTTTAAAGGCAGTTGCCCTTGTTTCACACTGTTTCAAGGCAGTTGCCCTCGATGTCATACTGTTTGAAGGCAGTTGCCTGTGTTGCCACACTGTTTAAAGGCAGTTGCCTTTGTCCCCACACTGTTTATAGGCAGTTGCCTGTGATGCCACACTGTTTAAAGCAGTAGCCTGTGATGCCCACTGTTTAAAGGCAGTTGCCTTTGATGAAACACGGTTTAAAGGCAGTTTCATTTGTCCCAACACTGTTTAAAGGCAGTTGCCCTTGATGTCACACTGTTTAAAGGAAGTTGCCTTTGTTGCCACACTGTTTAAAGGCAGTAACCTGTGATGCCCACTGTTTAAAGGCAGTTGCCTTTGATGCCAAACTGATGCCAAAACTGCCAAACTACAGCTCTTTGTGATTTATTCAATGTGAAACCAGCATATATCTCATATGACTCAACCTTAATGCCGTTTGTGTGGGGGAATTAAACACATAGTTTTGCCAAGACCCACCCAAAAAGCCAAAAAAACTGTGGGGTTTAAATCTTCCAGTGTTTCAACATTATTATCGGGCAACTAATGCCAAAGCCCTAATTTATTGGCAAGATCAGCTCCCCCGGTCAAATGAGCTCCATGATACACCCAAGTGGTTGCAATAGGAATCGAATGCTGCAAGATACAGCTCTCTTTCAGCTCTCCTGTTTTCTACTATGGATTATCCAATGCATCTAGTGTAGCATCTGCAAAATTGACTTAAACCCCCCAAAAGTATTAAAATGGTGCTGAATGTTCCTAAATGCTGTTGTTTTGATCATAATTTTATTCCATCTCAATCGGGTCAGGCCTTTATTTACTGGAAGGATGATGGACTGACTACAGCTGCAGACTTGTACATAAATAATCATTTTTGCGTCCTATATGGAGCTGAGAGAAACCGTCTCTCTACTTCAAGCTCACTTTTTCTGTCTTACAAGTAAGAGGTGTTAAAAATAATATAAAAAACTTTGAAACCCACCAAATGAACAATCCTTTTATAATGAACCAATATCCTAATTCTAAACATCTTGTTTCAAATTTTGTCTCACTATTTGCTAATAAGTATATTGTTTCATCAGAACATATGAAATCTGCCTGGGAGGCAGATCTTGTAGAGTTGACCGATGAGATGTGGAGGAAGGGGATGGAGAGGATCAATTCGGGGTTAATTAATGCCGGGTTGCAGTTGATTCAGTTTAAAGTTATGCATAGATTACATTATTCTAAAGAAAAATTCATATAATGAATCTTTATGTATCTGATATATGTGACAGATATAAATCTTCAAAAGGCATTCTAGGCCAACACCTTTTGTCCAAAGATCACGATATATGAGTATTCTGTTCTGACATGGTGAAAATATATTAACTAGAACTGTCTAATATATTTCTAAGACATTCCTCGCGTGTCGTTCTGTCGTATAGAATAATTCAACAAATAGTCAAATGATTCCAAGAGACAAACAGGAGGGGAACTCTGGAATATTTCTTGTCTGGTTTTAATTCAAAATCTCTGCAATAAAACACCTTAAACATTTGGAAGACACTTTAATGTCACATGACATTTTGAAACCCTTTTATGCTGAAAAAGACATTTTGATTCCAGATGTTTTGTTAAGAATATGTCCGTACTTTAGGACCAGAGATGAACCAAGTGAAAATATAAATTACATCAAAATGACACAATGTGACCTCCATTGTCCTGTTTAACACTTCAGTGAGGAGCAGCCTCATTTTCCAAGTTCTGAATCTGAATCGCTGTAGTCGGCCACCAGGGACGTGACTGCTGCTCTGACCTCGCCAACACATGTGTGGACTTCAGGGTCTGACGTCCTGCGGGTGACGGTGGCACAGGGTTCGTTTTTGATGCCAAGTCCTTCTGTGCGTTTGCGGATCAGTGAGCTTTGTGAGGAGCCGAGGGCTCTGGCCGCCTTTGCCTCTCTCACCTGAAGGCCCAGCTTTTGGAGCAGATTGCCTGTAGCCCGCCCTGGTGTGGCTGTGGTGGAGTTGAACCATGGACGGAAGGAGATCTCTTTCCGCTTGCTGTGCTTCTTGTCCTCATAGGCTGATAAGAGAGAGAAAAGAGTTCCATTAAATAGAATTCAAAGTTTGCTCTGTGAAATTTCATGTGGTAAACTAGGCCACGGGACAACGAGGAGTTTGATTATTTTTTTGTGCTGATAGAGGATGTCTTTCTGTTTACATGAACTAAATCCACTGTGTATTGTTGTGTTTTCATTCTCATCCATTTGTTTGTTTGATAATCAGCAGAATTACACAAAAGTTACTGGACGCACCTTGACACGTGTTGTAGAATAAATCATGGATCTTGTTGGGAAAAAAGACATATTTAGAGGGCTGATATCTGCGAGTGTGTGAAATTTGGTGTGAGTTGAATTTAGGGATTCCAGGGTGTGGACATTTTCCCACCAGGTAATAAGAGAATAAGTCACAAGACGCTTGTTTAACAAAAGTGTGTTGCTTACAGTCAGGGGCCTGGTAGGTAAGTAGAGCTGCCAGTTTCTTGTCCTCCTCCTTCTCTGGCAGCAGTGGGATCGACAGGTTTGTCCTCGTCCTCACAGCATCGTCCTTCTCCTCCTGCTCGGCCAGAACTTTCTTTTGATTCTGCAGCAACAATTAAACCAGAGACATGAGTTAAGTGACAACACAACTGAATTTGAAAGGAAATTCCACATGAAACAAGTGGCAATATACAGTATCTATAGTTGATGATGAGTGTATACTGGGTTGCAGTAATTCAGTCGTTCATAACGTTATTAAATATCTTACTCTGAACTTTCTGCGGAGAGCGCTGTTGAGCTGGAAGTCGTCCTTCCAGCCAGACTGGTGGTCCTGGATCTCAGACAGGGAGGGCAGAGCCTTTTTCAGTTTCTCCTTGTCTTTTCCACCATGATCCAACTTGAACATAGCATCTGTTTCCAGCTTCTCCTTCTCTGTCCGCTCTGCACAGTGAGACACGAGAAAAAGTAGATGAGGTGCAGAAAACGAGCAGGGGAAAGAAAATTGGAAAGAAAAAGCAGGAATGCTGTGTCCTTGTGAAAAATAATGTCATCCCTCAAAAGAAAAATCTGAAAATCTGAAAATCTGCAGCCCCACAATAAGGAGTATATAAACACATCTAAAGACATTTTAGATTTAAAATGGCTCAAATGGTTCAAGAAACAAACATATGTTTTTAATTGATATCTAACATGAATCCCTGACCTGTGGTGAGGATCTGCTCATTTTCTGCCATGTCCCAGCGTTCCTCTTTCCTGTTTGCTCCGCTCACTATCACGTAGTCGCAGGTCGCTGGGTCAGTCTGCATCTCAATGTAGTTGACACACAGGTGGCACTTCATCCTGAACCTGGTTTTGTCAACAACAAAAGTTGTTTAGTCCCTTTGTCACAGAGGTTTATTGTAATTTTCTGATGTTTAACGAGGTTCTGTGAACTGGAGCGTCACATTCTTGCAGCAGCCGACCCAGTCTGTCTGTGGTTACCTGTAGATTGGCGTGGTGTAGTAGTTCCCCACTTTCTTCTTCTCTGCATTGTAACGGACGCCTGTACCAACACAACATCAGAGTTATTGGAAGTCAATTGGTGATACTAAGCTGTACAAAATGTTTGTCTCCAGACTTACCCATGCCAATGTGATTTTTGCAGCCATCACACCAGATGTTGTAGGGCATCTCAAACCTAAAAGAACACAGTTGTGTTTGGTATAAATGACAACACTGACAAAGATTCAAAGTGACTTTACTTCCTGTCTGTATCTTTGACAGTCTGACATTATGTGCTGAATAATAAATAACACTAATTATGGAGATTAATTGAAGTTTCATGTCCTCATGTTTGCTAGAAATAAAAGAAAAACATTTATATTCATCAGACGATTCCAAATTTGCTTTATCTTCAACATATTTAATGATGGTTCTAAAACATCACATGAAGGTTTAATTGCACAGTAGATGTGTAACAGTAAATTACTTCTATGAATATATATGTTGTATATGTACATATATCTGTGCATGTGACAACAACATTTCTGTATGTGTGTGTGTACTAACCTGATGATGAGAATGCCCTGAGACAGTTTCCTGGCCCTCTCCCTGAGAGCATGGGTTTTATGGTAGCCGTTGAGTGATCCATGCTAAAGTCAAAGAAAATGTGGAAAATCAGTATCTACACACAAAGTTAAAATAAAGACACAAACACACACTGTGATACTGGATGATCATACACACCTTGGCTGGGTCAAAATCTGGAGGGTAGTATTTGTTTGTTCCTTTTCTCTCACCCTTTCAAAAGACAAGAAAGATAAACAGCGGAGCATTATTTGTCAGTAAGGAGTAGAAGTTGAGTATTTAATCATTAATCCTTGTGATGAATTAAATCTTGACAGAAGCTCGTGGAGATCATGGCTCACCATGTTGACGCCTGTGTGCCAGCACCAGAAGAGATGGATTCAAGTTTCTGTCAGGAGATAAAAAAGGAAGTCGTGTCACTGACAACATACTGTAACATTTCAGAATCAGAGTCGGTCATTATTGTTTGAGCTCCAGGAGTAAATTAAGTTTCACTGCAGTCGCTCCAGCCAAGAATAGAAATATACAGATAAGGACAAGACTGTATTCTGAGCTGTATTAGTCTAATGCACAACTGTGTATATAGCTTTAATCATATAACTTTAAATCTGTATTTATATTTGAATTAAATATTCTGCTCCGGTTACTTGTGTCTTTCAAAGACCTTATACTTCAAATATTGTATTGTCAATATCTGTCTATCTATCTATTTATCTGTCTATCTATCTATTTATCTGTCTATCTATTTACCTGTCTATCCATTTACCTGTCTATCTATTTATCTATTTACCTGTCTATCTATTTACCTGTCTATCTATTTACCTGTCTATCTATCTAATCACAACAACAACAACGTTATTTCTCTGTAGCTAGCGAACACTAGCTTGAATCCTCTCATATCTACCGGGTGAGTAAAGTGTTCATTGATCTAAATCGCTGACATAGTTTCGAATTTTCTTTTACAACTTTGAAAACGTCAGATTTTCAGTTTGTCGTGAGTCGCATTGTATGTAGCGCAGCGGGCTAACATTAGCAGGAGCTAGCTTGCCTCCTCCTCGTGCGTGTAAATGCGACGCGACACAACAACTGTCTGTAAAAACTGTTCATTCAATTCAAATACGCGACTGTTGATTTCATTGTTCAATGAAACAATTAGGAAGAAAAATTCTTACAAATTCTCTTGAGGCTGCACAAACTGCTAACAACCACACGCAAGGGCCGATGGGTAATAAAACGTCATATTTACGTTCCGGAAGTGGCGTAGGCCGGAATTGCCGGCGTCAGACGGACAACGTGCCCGGAGCGGAAGCGTCACAGAGCAGTAGGAAAGGATCGTGTTGTTATTGATTATTTGTTGTATGTCAGTGCCGCTGACATGGAATCGAACCCGCAGCCGCACAAACGCTTCATCTGCTCGTTCCCCGCCTGCTGCGCCGCCTACAACAAGCAGTGGAAGCTGGACGCGCACATGTGTAAACACACGGGAGTGAGGCCGTACTCGTGCGAGCGGGACGGCTGCGGTAAGTCCTTCTGCACCCAGCACCACCTGCTCCGGCACCAGCTGAGCCACAGCGGGGACAGACCCTTCCCCTGCACCGCGCCCGGCTGCTCCCAGGCCTTCACCACCAACTGCAACCGCACCAGACACATGAGCCGCGTGCACAGCCAGGAGCAGAAGACGTACGTGTGCAGGTTCGAGGGCTGCGGGCTCGAGTTCAGGAAGAACAAGCAGCTGAAGTCCCACGTGTGTGAGCAGCACACGCAGCTGCCCCCCTACCAGTGCACGTATGAAGGCTGCGGCATGAGATTCACCTTCCCCAGCAAGCTGAGGCGACACGAGAAGGTGCACAGAGGTTACGACTGCACGGAGGAGGGCTGCAGCTTCACGGCCAAGACCTGGACGGAGCACCTGAAGCACAGGAAGGAGCAGCACAGGCCCGTCCTGAAGTGTGAACAGTGCAGCAAGGTGTTCAGGGACTCTTGGTTCCTGCAGCAGCATCAGCGCGTCCACTCTGACGTGCGGCTCGTCTTCAAGTGCCCCATGGACGGCTGTGACAGGTCGTTCACCACGATCTTTAACCTGCAGAGCCACATCAACTCCTTCCACGAGGAGCTGAGGCCCTTCGCCTGCACGCACCCTGGCTGCGGGAAGACCTTCGTCATGAGGCAGAGTCTCCAGCGCCACAGCGTTGCACACGACCCGGAGAGGAGGAAGCTGAAGAAGCAGAGGAAATCCAAACCCAGAAGATCTCTTCCTTCCAAGTTGAGTGGTTACAGAGAAGAAAAGAAGCATCGGGAGCCTGAATCTGACACCAGAGGGTCAACTGAGAAAAGCTCTGATCCGCCTGGCCCTGTGGAGCTGGTGTCCCTCCTGCAGGATGCATCCCTGCTGTGCAGCCCGGCTGTGGTGGACACACATGGACTCACTAGTGCCCTGACTTCACCTTTATCAGTGTAAACATTTGGAGATCACACCAGAATGTGAACAGAGGCTCTTTAAGAACATTTATAATGTAATTTCTTACCTGTTGTATTAGGTTTGAGTGAGTTCTGCCTGTCTGTACGAGTGTTTGTGTACAAGTGCTTCTGTTAATGGTCTTTCTAAAAGATTAGTTGAATATAAACTTGAGTTCTTCATGCAGGAGTGAGTCTGGTCCAGGTGTTCCCTCCCTCTGTGTGGTTTCAACTGTATTCTTTATCTCTGTATGAATGCTAATTCATAACATAATTATTTGTCGTTATACATGTATTTTGTATAAAAACAAATTTTTGCTTTCATCAAAAGCACTTTCAAGAAGAACAGCCTTTAAATAAATCCTGTGAATGCAATGAGTTTCCCTTTGTATATGGTCTACTTAGATCGGTTAGTCCAAATGTATTATCCTGTATTACCCTCAGGAAAAGTCTCTAAAATTGCACTTCGCATCAAATTAAAACAACTCGATGATCATTTGTTTTACTTGTAGGACATCATACATGGAAATTACATTAAATTCCCCCTCTGTGAGATTTCTAAACCAGACTCAGTGCCTGTGATTGAAGGCTGGAGTCACAAGAGAGAATAGATTATTCATCAGAGCTGTCAACAAACTGTTTGTTCACTCAGAAGGTTCCTTTTCCTGAAGTGGCTGGTTTCAATTTCTTTGTGTTGATGTGAATTAGGAATGTGGTAAAAACACGGTGCTATAAACGACGCATGTTTTATTTATTTTATTTTTATTTTTCCGTATTTGCATATGAACGAAGAGCAAAGAAAAGGATCTCGTTTGAGATCATTTAAAACATGTACGGTAATCATAAAAATGTCTGCATTGGACGACAAGTGGTCTTAGGAGCTTGTGAGAGTTAGACGTATATACTCTTGAATTATATCATCACATGAACACACAAAACTACAAACTTTCTTCCTGTGGGAGAAACTGACACCTTACTTTGTATTTAAATATCCTGACTAATACACTGTTTTTAATCATCAATTACATGTTATCTTTCTTAGAACATTAGAGTATTACGGCCATTTAACAGCAAGAAAAGCAAATCAGAGATTTTACAAATAAATATGTAATGTTACGAGAAAAGTCATAACAATAAAGTCTTGACTTTAGGCTGTGTCATGTTAGAGAGGAGGTAGAAGAAGATCAGTCTGTCTGCTGGATTTAAATGAGGAATGTGGAACATCTTGTTGAGTTAAACTTAAGTATTGTGTAAGAAAGTGAGTCTATTCTGAAGAACCACACAGACCTTGTTCGTTCTGTTGGTTGCTGGTAAAGATGAAACAGATAAAATTGTGCATCATGTTTATATTGACCTTTATTATCATGTTTACCAGTCTTATATTGTTAAACTGTGCTGAACATGAACTGAGACACAAACTCAAGTAATTTTTCAAATAATATATAAATCTAAATAATATATCAAATGTGCTTATAAAAACAACACAATGTGCAATATGAACAAAGTACGTGCATGTAAGAACAATACAACCATATGTACACCACTCATCTCTCAGCCACGGAGGTTACCGTTTGGTTAATGCACAAGCCTTTGGAATCGCATGTCCCAAGTATGTTCAGGTTTCCACATCCTGCATGGTGTCCGCATACTTTTGGTCATATGGTTGATGTGTCTCAGTGTTATGTCATCATGGTCCATGAGTCTTCAGGCTGAGCTGGAGATCTGTGACAGTGAAACCTGCGGCGTTCACAGGTCGGGTTTCCAATGAAAACCTGCAGATTCCTCAGCCATGATCACACACGGCGGAGCATCTCTGCTCTGAGCTGCAGATTTACAGCGTCAACAGGAGCAGCCCTCGAGATTCCGAGGCTAAATCCTCTCTGAATATTTCCAGTTCCAGGAGGGCTGTTTCCCTGCATTCCTGGCACTCTCACTCGGCTCAGACGATCCCTACATGGACTGACTGTCTGACCAGCTCACCCAGGAATGTACAGCAGAACTCGTCCAATTAGTATTCACACAGTCCCAAAGTGACATGTAACGTCCTGCGCTCAGTTGCTTCCTATGTGGCCACAGTTCATTTCTGGGAACAAGCTCAGATTTGATGACGCTGCTGCAAATCACTTTAGTTGAAAAGTAAAGGTAAAAATTATCACTTTTCCCTCATTTAGTTTTATTAGTTTCTCATTTCTAAATCTACGTTTTCCTACTAAGAATAAGTTGAGTACATTCTGACCTTTAGATCTCACAGTCTCATACTTTAACCGCTCCATATCTTGTCTGCTCTATTTTTACCTCTGCTTATCAGTTCTGGCATTAACTCCGGCTACATTTAGCTCAGTCTGGATTCATACCTGAGCTTTACAGTCTGTGGGCTGCTATTAATCATACTCATCTTATCAGTGAGCAACAGAAAGAAAAACATCCCTACAGGTAAGATGATAAGGTTTTTTTAAATGGTCGTTATGTGATGAGGAGCGGAAAGTTAAAACTCGTCTTTTAATGAAGTAAACAAGTCACCAGTTGTTGTAGAAGCTGAAACCCAATCATCTTTCACTTTAACTGTCACGCTCAGGTTATGATGTGCCTCAGGGATTTATTTAGTTTCTCTGATAACTGCGGGTTGACACAGAGGAAGCGGTGCATCATGAAAGACACATGTTTCTGATGCATATGTCTGCTTCGTGAAATAAATGTGCTGAACGTGCAGGAATGCAGAGGAGGCCGAGTGGTGGGAGGAGGGATTCCACCCAGAAAAATCCATGTCTTGAAGAAAAAAAATAGACTAGACACCAGATGATGAAGCTGAGTGGTTGCCGCAGCAAAAGAAACTGGGTAGAAAAGCATCAGAGTTGATACATCATCATTGATCAATTTGCGCCAAATCATGTGGAGATAAACGCTCGTGCTACAGTGTCCACCAGAAGACAACTGGTCACCATGACGACCCTCTCCACCCTGTCCGCCTCCTTCTTGCAGGTCCTGGAGTTGGGCATGGCCGACACTTCCTCACTCCTGCACCCAGCTACACCTCTGATATCTCTGACTTCATATGACATCATTTGTTCAAATTGTCCTGTTTAATTTGTTTCTTGGTTTGGTTGTGTGTCTAACCTCTCTTATCGTGATCATTCGGCCCAGATTGTTGCTTTGCACATGTTGCATGATGATGAAAAATTATATGTTTCTTAACAACTAAATACAAGAAGGGTCACAGTTCATTTCTCACATAAAGATTATTTTATTTGTTGAGCATTGTTAGAGGTTTGAAGTGGTGGAAGAAATGTAACATCTGATGGTGCCTGTTTCAAATGAGGTGTGTCAGTCAGCGTGTTTGGACTGTATGAAATGTTGTCAACATTCTGCATCTTTTTTTTTTTTTCCTCCCCTTCTTTTACAGAAAATGATGCCACGTTCTTTCCATTCCTGTCGTCTGACGGCGCCGAATTCCAGACTGGCTCTGCAGGCTCTCATCCAACAGGATCGCTCTATCTCCGCCGTGTTTCTCCCACCACCTCTTCTGCTGTCCCGCCGTCTTTCCACCTCTCACTCGACCCCCAACCTCCCATCTCTCGAGAGGTGGAAGGAATGTGTCGGGCCCTTTGCCCTTACCGTGCAAATTACTGGGAAATGAAAGCTTTCTGTGAGTAGGGGTTTCAATTGCGTGAGCAGAGATTATAAATAACAGGTATTTACAAAATGTTCCAGAAAAAAGAGGAGGGTGTGCACCTATAAGCAACCCAGTATAATCAAAGCTTGAGTTTCCCTTTTTCTGTGTTTACATTTCTGCCTATAGTGAGTTTTAAAGAAGTACTGGTAGAATTAAGGAGAAGATCAGCATGCTCCAGTATTAGATTCTCAAAAATCAAACACGTCAGCTTCTTCACAAGCTTCACACAATTTCATGTATTCATAAATGTGTAATCTCAAAGGTCACTATGCATTAATTCACAGCCTGTTATGGAAAATCCAAGCACATAAATCAAGAATTTAAAAAAATGAAAGTAGAAATGTTATATACAATAATTATTACACAAAACGTACAGAAGAGATGACCACAAAACTTCGTGGAAGGATGTGATGCAGGTCAGAGAAGAAGTAGTAGTTTCTTGAATAGACTGTTTGCCTTGACGGAGGTAAACACTTCACTGAGAGCTGTTCTAGTTTTTACCGTGATTGTTGGTTTCAAAGCCTGAAGGAATTGATTCGTTTTACCTCATCTTGTTTTCTGTGTTTTTATTTTTAGATTCTTTGACAGGTAATGATGGCTGGTCAGAAAACAGGTGGAAGAGAAACTCTTATCGCTGTTAATCTCTGATGTTTGATGTGAACGTCCTTGATCCTTCTCCTGCGGCCCACTGACCTTTGACCCTTTGACGACACCTGAAGAGTTAAGATGATTTTGAAACACACACTGTTCCTTAACATCAGGAATGAAATGACTTCTGTCCAGGTGGAGTTGTGACTTCAGTCCCTGGATTCCCTCTCATGCAGCTCAGGTACTTTAACACTGAAAAATACGAATTATTGTTTGTTACATGTACACAAACATTCATTTAGAACAAACATCTCTATTGTAGTTTGACTTCTTCTGAGGAAAGAGGACGGAGGTGGTGAACATTTACATGGTCCAATAGATGTATAATTATAGTTTTATGAATTAAATCATGCGATACTGAAATAAAACATGAATTAACACCAGTGTTTAAGGTCAAATTTGCTAAAGTTAGAATCAGACTGATTTAGAGGCCTGGACTTACACAGAGGAAGAGCTCGCTTAAAGACACACGACCGTTTCTCATCGGCATTACAGTTATTTAGTGCAGAAACTTAATCCTCGAAAGAATTCCTGGCAGTAAATTCTGTGCACTGATATCAGTTCAAGATCTGGAGATGATTCCTTTCTAATTCATATCAACAGAGCTATAATACATGAGAAATGGGTCTTTTTAACTGTAATAAATAAACCTCGATTCTCACTGGACTCACTCCTCTTGCCTGTAAGTGAAACCAGGAGCTGGGTCTTTTCAAAACCCAGAGAAATGAATGTTCTGTGTTATGAAAACTGTTTCTATTCACTGCATTTTATGTATTTTATTAATATACAAACAGCTTGAGTACCTCATCTTTTACAGAAGCATTTGTTCCTTTGTCGACTTGTTGTTCCACCTGCTTTTGCAGGTGGGATCGTCTTTAAAATGACTTCTCTGACTCGTGTTTGAGCTGATGTTTTTGCAGGATCACACAAAAACCACTGAACGGATTTCCATGAAACGTGTCTGAAGGATGGGACACGGGTCAAGAAAGGACTCGTTCATTGGTACACAGTACCTGGAGAGCACATTACCCGGAGAGGTGCCGTTCTAGTTTGCATTGCAATGTTTATATGATGTTTGTCTCTTCTTAAGTTTTTAGTTTATCATGTGAATTGTGTATGGAATGTGCTAAGTGTGGCCGTGGCTCAGGAGATGGAGCAGAGGGTTGGCAGTTCAATCCCCATTTTCCACTATTCCGCATGCAGAATGGTAGATGGTCTGTGTTTACAGAATATAGCGCTCCTCTAGTATTGATGACCACTCAAAGTGCTTTACAGTAGAGTTTTGCTATTCACACACACATTCATCCAGTCGGCAGCACGTTTTCTATGAGAGGCCATTCGGGGTTCTTGCCAATGCAGATGGGGAAGGCTGGGGTTGAACCGTTGAAGAGGTTGGAGGACGACCCCAAAGTGCCCTTAGCCAAGATGCTAAAGCCCACACTGTTGTGTGATGAGTAGGTCAATGGCAAAAACCGTTCTGTGAAGAGCTTTAATTGTCTGTGAGTGTGGATTGTAGTTTGTCGGCCTCATGTACTCCGCCTCCCACCCATGTCCGCTGGGGTTTGTTCTAGCCCCAGTGACCCTCAAAGGATAGATGGTATTAAAAATGGATGGATGGATTTCATGCTCGTTTAAACACCTCGCAGGCGTTCTGAATACACTCGTCTGAGGTTTCGCTTTGTTTTTTGCAAATCATACACTTGAACAGAAAAGCACAGGTGCCATAAACAACATAAACAGTGGCTCCTTTTATTTAACTCCAGAACAAAATGTCAAAATATTCCCTAAAACGAAAAAAAATTAAAGAATAAATGTCACATGCTTGGCAACTTACAAATGAATTTGTGTTCATTTCAGCATCACTTGCTAAAAAAGGTGCACTGAGGTGTCTGACCTGCGCCTGGAACTCTGTCCAAATATGCACTCTTCTTCTTGCAAACTCCAAATTCCACCGGCTGACTGTTCAGGCCCTATAACCATTACATAATGCATATTCTACATATTCTACATGTCAGCAGCACATTGCTAATGAAATCCCTCAATTTATGGACCAGCTCAAGACGAGTCACCCACTGTGGAATGTCTGCTGAAACAGGCCCGTGTTGTGTTATAACCTCCCTTTCTTATCTGGCATTTGACCCTAAACGTTTTTTTGTTGTTGTTTTGTTTTGCTTTTCCGCGGCTGTGATGTTTATATAATAAGAAAAGTGACAAATGCAAAATACAACAGGTGCCTATTTGAAGACATTCCACATGGACTCTTCTTTCTTTTACATTGATAAAGTTTCATGTTTGAACTTTCTCGCTCTTGTCTTGTCTCACTTCCTATCTGCAGATTCATTCATCACACATACTTCTCAGCATCATCAATGTGACATCATTGTCCGCTTCTTAGCAGCTCTTAGGAAACCTCCGGGAATCCATATTGCCACCGGCCAACATCCTCTGGAAAAACATCTGGGAGAAACTCAACAATAAACCAGTGATTTACACCAATTAGATAATCCCAACAGGACAAATTCTGGGTCAAGCGCCCGCCTGCCCTCCTACGCTCCCTGTCAGGCTCAGGTGAGTGGGATAGTCTGTTGGCAAGTAACGGGTTAGCGTCTGTCTCCCCCCTACACCTCGTCTCATCCCTTCACCCCCCTTTATCTCCGAGGGCTATATATTGGAGGTCGTGACTCGTCTGCATCTTAAGCATCACTCGCACCCGCAGACACACAAACCCAACGTGTCTGGTTCACTGAGCGACAGCGCAGAAGAGGAGAAGACTAGCGATGAGGTCCCTGCTGAAGCTGCTTGTGATTCTGTTTTGCGTCCAGAGGGGAGAGGGCCGCTGGATGAGGTCACTGATCGGTAAGTGCTGGCTTAGGGTCGTGATGACCTATGACCTTTTGGCTAAAATCGAGACCAGTGTGTTCTATATTTAGAATTGGATATTTATCACATTTAACTTTAATTTTCTGCTCCTCAAAGGCTATTTATCTTTTTGTGAAAGTCTAAATAACATTTTTTTTCAATTTTGTATTGATTCTCTATAACTCTTTCTGTCTTTTCTAGATCAGACACAGGAAACACCGTCTCCACACATGTCTCCAAATGCAGACAGAAGAAGTGGATATCCAGCTGAAGAAGACAGTCAAACAGAAGCTTCCGGAGTCGAGCCATCACCCAATCCCATCATCCCAATGCGAGTCCGCTCACGCCGCTCGACTCTAGACGCCCAGTGCGGCCTGCGCTCCATCTTGCTGCAGGTCCGGGACCTCGGGCTCGGCTACGACTCGGACGAGACCGTCCTGTTCAAGTACTGCAGTGGGACGTGTCCCCGGGTTCGCTCCAACCATGACCTCACCCTCACTAACCTGCTGCTCAGTGGGGTGCTCCCCCACCCGGCACCCGGGGAGCAGTGGCACAACACGCCCTGCTGCAGGCCCACCCACCACGAGGACATGGCCTTCCTGGACAACTCGCACCGCTGGCACAAGGTGGAGAAGCTGTCGGCCGCCGGCTGCAGCTGTGTGGGTTAGATCGCTCAGAGTAGAAGGGAGAAGGATGGAGTTGAAAGGGTGGGGAGGGGAGGATGGTGTGTATGACAGTTTGATGACAAAGCGATTCCGAGGGGACAAGTTTGCTGCCTGTTTTTTTTTTGTAAACGTCTGTAAATGAAGAGTTTAATTCCACAATGGAAGGAGGCTGAAACCTTTTCTTAGCAAATGGGCATAAAATTAAGCTATTGTCACTTTTAGGGGAAAACCTCATGAATCCAATTTTTCTTTTGAAATGTTATAAGTGACCTTGTTGGACTCACTGCGATAATAATTACTTTATTTTTTATTTTATTTTATTCTGATAACAGTTGAGGTATAAAAAATGAAAGAATCAGGCAGCTTTTCTTAGTTTATGAACATTCAGCATTCTAGAAAAGGGTTTTTTCTTTATCTGTCGCCAGCAAAAAATACATAATGAAATAGCGAATTTTCTTCAAATGTAAATACTTTAAGTATTGTTCATGTCAGCTGATTTGAACCTTCACTGAATCTTAACCTGACAAACAGGCGTTAAAAGAGAAGAAGAAACACATGAAGCTACAACAAACTACTTGATTGTTTTTATATTAAGCTGACATGTATTTATTTAAAATCTTTTAGTGCAATTTAGGGGTTACAAATAGAGCAGATCAAATAAACAAAGCTGCGTAGAAGCAAAGTCTGGTTTGACAAACGCAGTCGAGAGAAGTTCTTTACAGTTCCGACTTATTCGTCAGAGCACCAGCCACAGTTTAGAAAATATATTTATGCAAGATAAGTTATTTATTTATTTGACGTCGTCCTCTCGTCATGCTGATTAATTTATTTTGTAATGTGCTCATCTGTAGATTTGTTGTGTGTACAGTTCCTAATAAAGATCAACTTGTATAGAAAGAATCAGTATTTGTGGTCAGTTCATTTCAAGTAAAAAGAGAAATTACAAAATTTTGAAAATGTTTATAATCAAGGTTTTTTAATAAAAAAATAAGAATGTTTCTCACACAAAAATCGTCATTGTTTTGTAAGAACTTGCTTTTCAAAAATCTAGAAGTGGGAGTTTTTTTTGTCACCGTGAGGTTCTACTGGAATTACAACAAAAACCAAAACAGAAACTCCACCGACTCTATGTGGCCATCACGTCCTCCTCAGGCTCCACCCCCCACACCTGGACACGCCCCTCCATTGCGGTGAGGAGGCACGTCTCTGTGGGGTGGAAGGACAGCGACTGGACCACAGCTTTTCCCACGGGCAGCTTCAAGGACAAAGAGCCCTGAAAGTCAGAAAAAACATTAGAGGTACTTTCTAGGACTGTGTCTAATATACAGTCAGACCGGATTTGGATTGAATTTGATTGAACTGGACGTGGAGCATCATCACATTAACATTATTTTCTACCATATCATCACACAGATGGGTCACAGGCTGCTGCAGCTCTGGACTTAGCTCTGTTCAGCATCAGAGTTCTAGCTTTCCCCTGTCGCACCCTGTCTGCTGCTCTGTTAATTACTCTTATGATAGTAAATGTAGGTGGAAGCTGACCTCCACCAGGTCCCAGCAGTAGACGTGTCCGTCCTCAGAGCAGCTCAGGACATGTGTGTCTTTACTGGACAGACAGCAGTCCAGCTTGTAGCCCTTCATCTTATGTCCTGTAAACCTGAGGGAAACAAACAAACATTTACATGTGACTCGGTCAACAAATGTTTTACAAATCTGTTGGTGACATTTTTGTAAACTTCCCAGGAAGAGGTCAGAAATGTACAAATCAATGAATACAACCTTTTATAATCTTTACATTTTCATTTTATTGCAGCTGTGTCAAGATTGATTGTTTTAGCTTTGAAGACTTTCTCTCACAGCGTTTTCTTAAATTGACGCTGAGATAAATATTGGCACAAGCTTCCACTAATAGTCTTTTCCCTGGATTTATATTTACAATGGGATTCAGTAATATTGATTTTATAATCTATATCTATCATATAAAAACAATTCATGTTTATAATTTGAAATGAGACTGAACATCACTCACTCTCCTAACATTTCCCCTGTGCTCTTATCCAGTAGTCGGACTGTTGAATCCAAACTGGAGCTCAGCGTGCACTGACCGTCTTGACTGAAACAAACGCACGTGATGGGACCTGGAACACACACAAGTTAAAGAATATGTTTATAACCATCTAACATTTTCAGATTGTTTTTGCTTGGTGACATAACGACATTTCCCTGTGTTATAGATCAAAGTCACAGATTATATAAAGTCAGTTCATGTGCATTGAGTCCTTGTTCATTTAAAATTTAAAAATAAATAAACATAATTATAACTTAATAATACTTCTATTACTACCAATACTTCTATTCCTGCAAATTTTCCCATTGAAAGTCATTTTCTTTAAAACATGAAAGTTAAAAATGTTTACTGACTGTTGATGAAGTCCACATGCAGCTGACCCATCCTCAGGTCGTAGCGCCTCACTCTGCCGTCGACAGATCTGAACAGAAGAAGATTTCAGAATAATGTGCAAGCGAAATATTAAACTGAAGTCTGTGCCTAACTACAATAGTGGGGTGATAAGAATCTGTTGATTTGTTATAGATTCAAAATGCAAAAAGCTTTTCTCACCCTGTGAGCAGCTCGTGTTGCACCACTTTCAGGCTGCTGACGCCGTCCTTGGCCTCGTCCAAAACCTGGATAGGTTCAAATCTTCTGGACCTGGTGTCCCAGCACCTAACTGTCCCATCTATGGCGCCTGGATGAAGAGACACATGCAAACGTCATAATCCAAACATATTTTACCACGGACATATAAAAACATTTAGAATCAGTATTAGCGTTGATGAGCTCTTGACAATTTAAAATAAATATGGACCATGACACTCACCTCAGTGTTGAACTGGTAAAGTTTATTTCATATAACAAATTGTGCTAAAAACAATATATAGTGAATTATTCATTGATTGGAGGCATTTTATTGAAAACTCACCAGACAAGATTACAGTTGCCTCCTCGTTAAACTGGACACAGTTGACTTTCTGTGAACAGAGAGTGATATAAAACTAAATCGACAAATACTTCTACAAAAACAGGAAGCAGAGTTATAATCGGCAGAACTGACCCCGGCATGACCTCTGAATTTGCGTGTGACCTGTCCCGTGGCGACGTCCCACAGGATCACCGTCTTGTCTGAGCTGCAGGTGCAAATTAGGCTGTTGTCATATGAGCTGTGAAAGAAAACAAAACACACAACACCGTGATTTAGCTTCTCTTCTTTCTTCGTGTTTTTGCAGTTTACACTCATTCATTCTGCCAGTTTGGTGGCATATCGCTAAGATAACTGTCCTGTGGAGGAGGTCATGAAATCAACTCACCCATCAGCGTCCAGAACCTCGTAACCATGGCCGCTGTAGGACTTCAGCAGGGTCCCTCTGCTCACACTCCACAGCTTCAGAGACTTGTCACTGCCACAAGACAGCAGGTAGTTCCCATCAGCTGAGCGAGCAGGGAGACAGAGGACAGGGGTAAACTACTGTGAATGAGACTAACATGGAGCTGGTAACATAGATCCCAAACATTACACTGATCTATCTCTCTGTCTACAATGGGGGAATTTGCAAGATTAAGAATGACTTTCACATCTTGCACATGATGTTAAATCTTATGTCTCTTGAGATGAGGTGGGTGTTTCTCACCGTTGAAGCGAACAGCCCTGACAGCTCCCTGCTGACAGTCGATGGTCCTGAGCAGATGCTGAGGAAGCTGAGGAACCTGAGGTCTGGGCTCAGGAAACGCCATGACATAGCCTGATCCCAAAAAACCACAACATGCACATGTCAGGAACGACTATAAACACTCTGTTAGCTAGGTTAGCATTACTTGTCTCCATAGGAAAATGAAAGCACTGAATTAGTTTGTCAATTCAAAGAAACCAGGTGAGTTCCTTCAGTTTCTGGGATTCATGTATAAATGGATTGAACAGTAGATTTAAACAGAAGTAACATGTTTGCTGATTAGCAGATGTTTACACAGTTAGCTGCTAACTGATGCTACACACTCAGTTAACCTGAACCAGGTTTAATATTGTGGGAGCGTCGTGAGTGATGTTCCCGATGCTACTGCTAGTTATTAAATAGTTGATTGATCAATATTGAAATGATTGGAAGGAATCAAACCTCAGTTAATCATCTGCTTTCATTCATTTCATCCATTTATATGTTTGCTAGTTCGCGCAATGCACACTGGGTTCACACAGTCCTGTCAGAATAAAAGTTCAAACCCCATTTCCGCTTTATTTTAGTTTCGTAAAGTTTATTTCACATATATTAAATGTTAAAAATACATTAAAATAGAATGAAACCAGTGTCAACTCGTGTGAAAAGCACAACAAGAATGTAATTGCATTAAATCTTCAATACATGTTTAAACGAAATAGACAATTTGACACAAATTAGTCAAACAAAAAAATACAGTTCGTATATTTCAACAAATGCAAGAGTTTCAAAATATGTAAAATGTCACAAATAGTCAATTTAGTTTTGGGGTGAAAGAGCTTTGGGAAGGAATCGAAAAGACATTGTACTTTGTACAGATATGTTTCCAAACTATATTGCAGTATGATAAATATGGAAGAATTAAGTTGTAATGTAATGATTTAAAAAAAGCTCCGATTGTTCACAAAACCTCTTTTTTTGTTAGATAGTTTGTCCTGCAGAGCACTTTCTGCCTTTATTTTGAGATACACCGGATATAGCTGTCCCCACTTCCGCCCAGTCGCTCAGGCCCGTCAGCTGTTCGCGGTCACCGGTGTTCTAACCTCAGATTAACCCGCGACAGGAGCCTTTTAGTCGGATACCATGACCTCTAACAACGTGTCGGACCCGAAGAGGCTAAATAAGATTTTAAGGTTCGTGTTTTATAAAGAAAACTCAGCGGTAATTTGTGGAATTAGCAGCGTTGAGCTAAAGCTAACAAGCTAGCCGTCGCCACAGATCATGCCTGAGGAGATTAGTGATCAACTGACTGTTCGCCACTTTAAACAACACGATGATAGTTTGTTAACGTTTAGTCGGATGTTAATTGTTGTGATGGTTTATATTAAAAGTGCGGTGTCTATCTGTGTTTCACGGATGTTTCTCATTTAGTAAATCGCCTTTTCTTTGGGATTTTCTCACAATCGTTTGGTTTAATGTGGTGTCAAAGTCAGAAACACCTGAAGGACACTACAGGAATCACTCGGGTGATATTAGGGAGACATGTTGACATATTGAGACACATGTTCTCAAAATGTACTGTTGTTTTCACCCAGATCTGTTTTTAATTTGTTCAATGTCTCTAAACTCCAGTGGAAGAAAAAGCCCTAAAGCTGCAGTAATAAACACTGATAATTAAAAGTTCTCATTCTTGTGGTGTTGCAGGTACAAGCCCCCCAGCACAGAGTCTAACCCCACACTGGAAGACCCCACGCCGGACTACATGAACCTGCTCGGCATGATCTTCAGCATGTGTGGGCTGATGCTCAAGGTGACTCTGACACAAACATGCCCTCACACTCAACCTCTGTGACTCCCATCTCTCCCTCTGTGACTCCCATCTCTCCCTCGTCCTCCAGCTCAGATTATTTTCACGTGTGTGTGTGTGTTTGTGTGTCACACTAAATGGGTGTCGCCCCTGAATGGTTGACCTTGGTCCAGCCCAATTGTTCCATTTAGAAGATTAAAGGTAAACTCACCTCTCCGATGAAAGATTGAAGGTCAGTGTTTGACTCTCAGCAGAAAGGGCGCAGTAAATGAAACAAAGAGGAGACAGCAGCGGGGTTGTGTGACCTCCTCCCAGTCCAATAGCAGATCATTTGATTAATTGATCGTCTTTCCCTTAACAAAGAACTATTCTTACTTGTTGGCATAAAAAAAATGTGTCTGTGCGCAGGCGTAGCTATACATGCACGTCACCATGAAGTCCGAAAATGCTGTTGTATAAAGAAGCAAAATATTACCAATAGAATTCTAGGCAGCTTATTGAGATTGAACAGTGATTCGTCATCATATGCTATAAATAACATCATGACGTCATTGTGAATATCATTACTACAGTAGACAAAGGCGTTAGCATTACCTGATTGGGGTTTATACATCGCCCTTTCTTTAATATCAGGAATTATTGATTAATTGATATTTCAGGATTTCTTAAGCAAAGACTGGAAATGTGTCAGAAAGAGGCACTGAATGTTTTACTGGGGGTTTACAAAATAATGTCTGGATGTCAAGTTTGCATGAAAGACTTTCAGGGCTTCCCTCTGCCTTCAGAATTCCTTTGTTTTGGGGAGTTCTGCCATTTTATATCAGTGATACACTAACTTAACCCATATGTTCTAGTCTGTGTACGAACACCAAATTCAAGGTAATTATGTACTATTGATTCAGTGCTGTTGTTAATTTTCCTCTGTGTATCTCCAAAGCTCGTCTTTGCTAATACAGATTATCCATGTTTGTTTCAGTTGAAGTGGTGCGCTTGGATCGCAGTCTACTGCTCTTTCATCAGTTTTGCAAACTCCAGAAGCTCAGAGGACACCAAGCAGATGATGAGCAGCTTCATGTGAGTAGACAATACATAGATTGTAAATAAAGATGGACAGCACATCTCCACTTCCTTCCATTATCCAGAAACAAAGCCATATATACCAGATTCAAACGCCGCTATCTTGCATCAAATGGATCCTGCAGATACATGTCAGTCTTTACATTTGAGAGCCATCATGCCTTCCATCTTTGCATACAGCCTAAGGTTCATATACACAGTGTTCTCCCTGTGCACTATATTCACATTCATGTACTATTTTCTAAAGTGAAATATATATGTGTTGTAGCTTTTCTTTTCCAGCTGTGTTGTACTGAGAGGTTTGTATCTTTGAGATCAGCAGAAAACATCTCAAATTCGTGAGTGCAGCTCTGTGGATGAAGAGCTGGCTGTCTACTGCCTTGAAGATAATTCAATATTATTCTTTATTGACTTCCACTTGAATCTCTTCTACTTGAAGAATTGGTCACATCACATTCTTCGTTCTTTTAAAGTTATGTTGTCCACAGAGACGATTCAAAGAACATTACACTTAAAAACAAACAACCAAATAGTGGAACAGGGTTTTTCACTTATACATATTTAGCTTTATCCCATTGCACAATTTGTTCTCTGTGTTTTATATTAATTCTTGAATGAGCAGTTTTAATACTGTAGGTTAGACCTTGCTTTCCTCTGCCATTGAGACATCAGATGAGCCAGCTCTAATGTCCAAAAGCTTTTAACTGTGTGACCTCCAGAGTTGGTACATTTCCATTTGCTTATAGAAGAGAACGACAGCAGGGGCACTTGTCCAGGGCCTCCCAGACAGATTTGCAATGAAGGAAAAAACCCTCCAGGTCCATCGTCTAGATGAGGTTGTATTAAAGACGAGCTCGATGCACTCACAGTTTGGTAACACAAAATGTTTGGCTCAGCAAATGATGTCAGACGATGACCGTAATGCACCGACCTCATACGCGTAGGAGCTGGTTCAAGGCCAGTTTTAGGACATTTGTCAGTAGCCAAGTTATGACCTAAGTTTCCCTGTGTTATTAAACAAAGGTGACTGTGTGCACAGGATGAAATATCAGTGGAGGGCCGATACGTCACTGAAGTTTTCTGGTGAACCTGCTTCATTTATGTTTTGGTAAATGGTCTAACAGCGCTTTCACAGGGCTCAGGGGTGAATTCTTAAAAACGCTTCAATACGAATTGAAACTGAGCTCAGCTGCAATGTTTAATTGCTCGTAAGCAAAATATGTAATTAAATACAAAGAGGGCAGGAGTGTGTTTATATGCCTCATGTGCAATAATTGAAAAGTCATTTTAAAAAGTCACACTCCACAAACAAAAGTGCAAACAAGCCGAACCGATAAAAACAGAAAGTGAACATAAAAACGGAGGTAGACTCTGGGTCTGGAAAGTGAAGCCCATGTGAAAGTTCCTGAAACCTGGTGCCACGATAGAAAATAACACATTTTCTGTGACATTCGTGTCTCAACTAAATTCAGTCCTGAGCAGAAAACCCAGCAAACACGTTGCCAAGTTGTTCAGCGCCTCTTAGACGGTGTATTTTGACACTTTGCATGATGTGTTCTTCTCCTTCGTGCCGTCTGCAGGTTGTCCATCTCAGCAGTCGTCATGTCTTACCTCCAGAACCCACAGCCAATGTCGCCACCATGGTAACCGTGGGCCAACCGCAGGAGAGCGAGTGAACCATGGACGCCGGAGTGGGTGACGAGACAGCTGATCAGCTCCCCGCTGGCCATTGGTGGGGGGGGGGAGAAGTAGAGACTGAAGGAGAGATAATTTGATAGAAAGAGAAGAAGAGAGAGAAAACAGATGGCCAAGAGAGGTAAAGAATAAGGACACAACGTCAAGATGGAGACAGCTAATGGTTTTTGACTGTGTTCTCATGTGTTTCTCTTTTTAATCTTTTCTAAGTCTTTTGGTTGTTGATGAAAACCTTGAAATGTGACTCTTTTGGCTGATCTGTGGCAGGTTATCGTCAATAAAGTTGTACAGTTTTAAAATGAGCTGTTTCCTTTTGTCTTGGGGAGAAAATCTTTCTTCCATGCTGCAGTTGGTCAACAGACGAACAGGAAGCGTCTTAAGAGCAAACCCGATGCCTCTTGGCCACTTGTTCAGTTTCAATTTCATTCAGTGTTCTTTGTTTCAGGAGAATAATCTGCTCAGTGTCAGAACCACTTTCCTTGGAGTCCTGCGTACATTTATCTAAACAAACAAAAAGATAAAACTAGAACGTTAATCAAGCTGCACTAAACTACACAAGCTCATAGATATGAGTTAAATAGGATTTTTTGCATCACGCTCCATGAATTGTTCCCTGTGAATTCTGTGAAAATGACAAAAACACTCTGAATGTCAATTTTAAAGAAAGTAATAAAGAAATCTGCGATCCGCATCTTTGTCCAGATCCACGCCAACATTTACTGGGTTCTTTCTCAGCCCATGTTTCATCCTTCCTCCAAATTTTGCGTAATTCCGATGACAGACAAAATTCAACCTCCCTAGCGAAGTTAATTAAAACACAAGTCTACGACTCCCTTTATCCCATTGTTGTTTTTTCCCCAATTCTGTTGGCTCCAGTCCAGCTGGTGCATTTGTTGTTTGATCGCTATCACAGGAGAGGATATTGAAGTTGTCAGTTATCTGCAGCATTGATCGGGGGGCTGCGTAATTTGGAT